CACACACACACACACACACACACACACACACACACACATATACACACACATACGCACATACGCGCACGCACGCGCACACAAACGCACTCATACACACACATACACACACACACACATACACACTTATACGCACACACACATGCACACACACGCACACACGCACACACACACACACACACGCACACACTCACATACACACACACGCCATGGGTCTTCACAATATGCGTTCCCGCATTTGTATATATGCGAAAACGCATAAAAAGCGAGAGTACGAAATTGGGATTTTCATCCCATGATGGAAATGAGGCGAAAATCTTTTACATCGCCTTCATAGATACAACTAGCAACTTTACCCGTGTCAGAGCTTGCATCATTAGGTGATCAGCCTGCTGGTGCCCTTTCAGTGGCAGAGCATCCCATTCCACGTGACGCAATCGTTTGACGGCAGCAACCGTACAACGAATTTTGACAGGATGAAAATCCTACTTCTTGTTTTGACCGGCGTAACATGCGACGGATTGCAGATCACGATGTACGACGAAATTACAAAGCTTTGGCGAGTTTGCCAAAACTGGAAACTGATGGGATGTATCAGCCGTTCGGGATGGCATTTCTGGTCGGTGCCGAGGTCGACTTCATCAAATTTCGCAGCCATGCAGTAGCACTGGACATCCCACTGCCTGGTTTGAATGAGGTTCTGTACATTATCACTCAACGGCACCTCCGCACGGTAGACGTGACCACCCCCACCTTCTTCTTGCTGAGACTGCTGAAAGCATAGCGCAAATTATGTGTAGACTAAAGAAAAAAGGTGTTGACTTTCACCAATACGACCTAGAATTCAGCTCTTCGGGTGTGTTTTCTAGGCAGGCATAGCTCAGAAAAGTGAAAGAGTACCAAAAAGCATGAAGCGCCCCAGGAAAGCCGCCTAAAAACTACAGTATTTCGGCAAATAGGATAAACGAGAAGCACGAAAACTAGTCTGCGTTCACCTTTATCGAAATTGGCTACGCCACTATCAGAACTTTTTTTTTAAACTATCTGATTTTATCTATGAAGTAACATATCATTTGTGCTTTCGATCTGCTACATAACGACTGATGCAATTTCCTGATTTGCTTCACCCAGTTTCTCGTTAACGTTCCGCAAAACAGAACAAAGTCATTCTTGTCCTGTGCGAGCTGCCTGTATTTTTTGGATTTGCAGATGTTCGATTTCGAAACTGAAATACTTGAAAAGCTGGATCGCGAATTTGAGGAGGAAGAGGTCGAATTAGAAAGTGAGGGTGGCGGAGGCCATGGAGGAGAGGGTGGCGAAGGCCATGGAGGAGAGGGTGGCGAAAGCCAAGGAGCAGAGGGTGGCGCAGGCCATGAAGGAGAGGGTAACGAAGCAGTGAGCCATGGAACAGGAGGCGAAGGAGAGGGACAAAGGGAGGTGGAATATGTCACCAAAGAAGTCGTCGACGTATACCATTCCCGCATCAATCTTCCAATCCCATCAAGCGAC